AAAGTGACTGCCGCTTTACACCTGGGAGCATTTGTAACAGAGAAACGTGCTGCACAAACTGCACCCACGCGCCTGCAGGGACGCTCTGCAGACCGATCCAGAACATCTGTGACCTTCCGGAGTACTGCAAGGGGAAGGACACGAATTGCCCCAGTGACTTTTATCTGCAAGATGGAACCCCGTGCACTGAGGACGGCTACTGCTATGAGGGCAATTGTACCGACCGCAGTATGCACTGCAAGGAGATCTTTGGGGAGGGGGCGCTGAGCGCGCCAGACGTCTGCTACAGCATCAATAAAAAGGGCCACCGATTTGGACACTGTAAAGTTACTGATGGATTCCTGCCAAAAGGTTGTGCGGATGCTGACGTTAAGTGTGGACGCCTACAGTGTGTCAACGTCACTCATCTGCCTCGGTTGCAGGAACATGTGGGCTTCCATCACTCAATCATAGGGGGGTCCTTGTGTTTTGGGGTGGGTGCACACCGTGGGACAGAAAGCACTGATGTTGGTGCTGTGAGACCTGGTACTCCCTGCGGCGGTGGAAAGTTTTGTCTTCAGGGCTTCTGCAATGCTACCCTGGCGGCCATAGACTACAACTGTCCCCCTTCGAAATGCAACTACAGGGGCGTGTGCAACAATAACAGGAACTGCCATTGCCATGTAGGCTGGGACCCTCCCCTGTGCATTAACAGTGGTGCGGGAGGGAGTGTGGACAGCGGACCGGCTCCAAGAAGAAGGCGGACAGTGAGGGCAGGTGGTATGTCACTGGTGTATTTGAGAGTGATTTTTGGTCGCTTGCTTGCCCTCATAGCGGCACTCCTCTTCGGCGTAGCCATGAATGTGAGAACTATCCAGACCACTACAGTCACTGAAGTGAAAGTTCCTGGAAAGTAAACAGCAAGTCAGCCTTCCGACCCCTGGACAACTCAGGCAACATGAAGAAACACCTGAAAAAAGTCACCATAACCAGCTGGCAGAGCTCAAGTCCACACTTCTTAGAAGCTGCAGGAGTCCTGCCCCACATCCAGGGTGAGCCCAGTGTGGGCACTTTCACACCACTCCCTCTGACAGCTCGCTGGCCAGCGTCTGCAATAAAGCCTGAGCACTGAGTGTTGGCGTCCTGTGCAGTTCTTGTAGGTCTGTAAGAGCCCTGAACGAGCCTGAGACTCAGGCCTGGAGAGGAGACCTGGTCAGCAGCTGGGCTTGTGCTGTGGACGCCTGTCCCAGGATTAGTGACAGTGGCCACAGGTTCCTTTAGGACCAATTCCTGTCAATTCCCCACAATCGTGCCCTTCAGCACCAAGTGTCCCCCAGTCCCTAGGTAAGATCTCCTTCTCTAAACAGGTTGGGCTCAGGGCAATGGGCGTGCTCCTGGCCCCCAACCCTGCCTGTTTCACACAGGGTGGCTGCGGGTGTGGGCTGCGAGTGAGGGTTCCATGTCTGCTAGTGACACCTGAGCCCCCTGGAGAGCACCCTTTCCTGTGTGGCGGCAGATCAGTCAGTGGCACTCAATCAGAAGGAGGAAGAAGTGGCCCTCCTGACGCTGACCCAGAGTGAGAAGGCAAGCCGAGAGTGGCTATAGGGCTAAGCCTGGGACTGACCTGTTGGCAAAGTCACAAACAAGTCCCAGCTTAGAGGGCACAGTCCTCTTAGCATAATTAGGCTGGACCTTAGGTCGCTCCCTAGATCTTATCTGGGAAGCTAATGGGCTGTGGGAGGTGCAGCAAGTGCTGCCAAAACAAGTGAAACTCACAAGAACACTGTAACTATGGTGACCACTACCTTGTTTACCTCTGGCTATAAAATAAAGGCTCAGCTGGCCTCTGGATCTCTCTGTGGCCTCAGCCAGGTCCAGGAAGATCCACCTAGAGACCCAGCTTATTCTCTTTGTCTGTCATTTCTTCATCCATTCACCGCCCTCACTCAGGCTTTCTAACCCTTGGCTGAGCTGGCTCAGCACACAATGGTGTGCTCCTGCCCCCCAACCCTGCCTGTTTCACCCAGGGTGGCTGCGGGGGGCTTGGGCTGAGAGTGAGGGTTCCTTGTCTGTTAGTGACACCTGAGCTGCCTGTGTTGAGGTGGACCAGTCAGTGGCAGTCAGTCAGGAAGGAAGAAGGAGTGGTCCTCCTGACTCTGGCCTCAATGGAGCCTGCTCATTCGGGCCTCTCCTCCCCCCCGGGCACTGCAGAGAGTGGCAGTGAGTGTGAGCTGAGTCCTGGAGAGGCACTGACACCCTCTTCCCCACAGGCCTGTGGGGCTGAAAACCCTCCTCTGTGTCTTCATCGTTTGCCCCTAAAGGCCATTGAACAACGTCATGTAAAGCTGATGAAAGTAACCCTTTGCCTGAACATTTAGAATGAGATATTTCCTCCATCAACGCAGGTCCATCAAGTGGAATTGAAAACTGAAATCCCCACAAGTTCAAGGGTCTGGGTGTCCGTGATGGGCAGACATGCCAAATGGACGTCAGAAGCTGAGGTTGGGACCCGTGTGGTCACTTATTGATTGAAAGTGTCTTCTGTGCCGGGCAATGTGGGAGAGCTGGGAAGAAGGAGCAGGCCCCGGGCTCGTGGAGCTCAAGTCCTGGTCTGAGTCAGTGAGAACCATACAGTGGGTCCTGCTAGGGCGGTTTCCTGAGGCACTGAGCAGCCAGAGGGTCATGTGTGGTCAGATGGACACCCACCTGAGGGCGCAGTTCCCAGGGATGATCTTATTCCCTGAGGGGCAGGTGGGCCTGTCAGGAGGCAGGTGTGAGGAGGAGCCAGGTGGGCCTCTCAGGAAGCAGGAGAGAATTGGGGCCAGGTGGGCATGTGGGGATCAGGGCTTGAGCTCAGCACGCAGCTGCCTGGGCTGTGATGGTGTCCCTCTTGGTGGGAATGTTGCAGAATTTACCAGGTGACCAGAAAACACACAACGGGTACTCAGGAGATTCAGAAAAACCCTCTATTTGCAGATGTACTAATACAGTGACTCAGTTTTCCAAAGCCTGAGTGATGAATATGGAGCAAGCTCTCCTTTTATCCCCTTAGTGTCAGTTAGAATGGGGAAGTAAGATTGCAGCTAAAGGCCTGGCCTGGGTGGTGCCAGAGACCTCCCCTCTTGCTAAGCTGTTAAATTCTTGGTTTATGGCCCTTGTAAATTGGGAATATTTGGGAAAACAGATTATTGCCCATGGAAGGGGCAGTGACTTAATTATAGGCTGATGAGAATGTGTGTCAGAAGGCAGGTTACTGGTACAGATTCAGATGCTAGCCCCCCAGTTGTCTTACTTTCCCCTTCATTCCCCCTCCTGATCCTCGAGCTGGTTTTCAGCCTTGGGGATTCCACAGGAGACTCAGAGTGAGGGAGCAGGGTGTTCAGCAGCCCGAGTCTTTTCCATCTTCATCACCCAGGGGGTTGTGATGGCAGTCCAGAGATCTGGTCTGGAGTAACATCCGGGCCTTCAGGGCTTATTGATTCTGTCTCTATTAGCTGTTCTAAGCCTGTTGGCTTTCTTAGAGGAAGGGAGAAGGATTCTACACAGGTTTCTTCATTTCTGGCTTCAGAGCAGTTGGAGTGATGAGAAGCACGTCTCAGGGTCCCCTCTATTTCTCCTCCAGTTGGCCCATCGTCCTAGCTCTGCTCATGTCTGTCTAACTGCCTAACCATCCGCATCAAGGATCTTGGCTGTGAACTCTTTCAGGGAAAGTGGGTGTCGGTGGACTCCTCTAACTGCTTGGATGCTGAGGAGGGATGAAGTTTTCTTTCAGAGCCAAGAGATCTTTGCTCTCTGTCAGAGGGATGATGAGGCCTGGGCATGGAAGGAGCTGGGCTTATGACTTGGTGGAGACAAACTGTATTATAAAATTTAGTATTATTGAGCAATTAGAACAGCAAGAATTACAACAAATGGTCTGGTGGAAGGGAAGAGAAAACATTTCAATTCTAATCATTTCCTATTGAAATAGATTTTTTTTCTCCTTAAAATCACACTTATTTTTATTAAAGAGTCAAATTAAGACCATTTATCAATTTGGCCTGATTGTCTGCATAAACACAACAAGAATGGTAACTGACTGCCTTTGCTGGAATTTCATGATTGAGTCTCAATGTGCCCCTTAGGGCAGAGAAGCCAAGCCATCCAGCTGCCATCAGGCCTGCCTGCAGTATCTGCTGGGTTAGGTGAATTCCTCACCAAGATCTGTACCTGCAGCAGCTCCACTGGGGCCCACACCTTAGGCTTCAAAACCCATCTCAGCAGCCCTCCTACTCGTCATGGTCTAGAGTGCGTGGGGGTTTGGCAAGGATGCAGAGGCACCCTTGCTGCTCTCCTTCCACTCTGACCAATCAACAGCGATAGCAGGGTATGGGTCTGACACTCCAGCACCATCCATTTTCAGGGCTACCAAGCAAGAAACCGGGCTTTCTCCATGGCACTCTTATTGGCTTCAAGTCTTCAGAGTCCAGACATGACCTTTTTAAACATGACACTCCAGTCAAATTTTTCGGTCAATAAAACCACCATTGGAAACCTGTCTTATTGAATTTATGCAAAGAAATGCATTGCCATGATTCATTCATTAAGAATTGCCAAATTTCGGAGGGATCATATAGGAAGAAAATACACTAAGTTGCTTTAAGACCTTCTGATTTTCCTTGCCAGTCCTTTCCATGGACTCTTCAGAAGATGTAATATTTTTCCAAATGCATTATAACAAAACAGTAACTGTCTCCAAATGACAAGAAGAAATTTTAAATGACGTGATTATGGATTTCATTATAATGCAGATGACATGTAATATTGTCCTTTCTGTAAAACCTAACATTCTATAATATAACCAATAACCATCCTATATAATCCTATATAATAAAGAGGTAATATGCAAATTGACCCTCACACCCTTGTGTCACAAGATGGCTGCCCCAATGTTGTCACAAGATGGCCGGCAGGGGAGGATGGTTGGGGGTGACCAGGCCTGCAGGGGAGGGCAGTTGGGAGTGATCAGGCCGGCAGGGGAGCAGTGAGGTGTCAATCAGGCTGGCAGGGGAGTGGTTAGGGGGTGATCAGGCTGACAGGCAGAAGTGGTTAGGGGCAATCAGGCAGGCAGACAGGCAAGTGGTTAGGAGCCAGCAGTCCCGGATTGTGAGATTTGGGATTAGCCTAAACCGGCAGTCAGACATCCCCTGAGGGGTCCCAGATTGGAAAGGGTGCAGGCTGGGCTGAGGGACATCCCACCCTCCCAGTGCACGAATTTCATGCACCGGGCCTCTAGTTAGTTATAACTGTATTTAACAAATGTTCTTATGTACCTTCAGTATAAGCTTTTCCTTCATGAGAGAGAAAACAAACATTTGAGGCATTTCAGAGCCTATTGGGATAATCTAAAGCCAATTCTAGATCAAGAGAAAGTTTCTTAAAATTCAAACCCTTGAAGGATTGTCAAACTTGATTTATCAAAAGATTATATATCAAAGTGTATTAGACACAAACATAGGCTAGCAAATTTCAATTCCTATGATTAAAAGATGGTCTTTCTTTTTTTATTAAATACCTGATTAATATAACATAATCATTTTACTAGAGAAGAACTAACCAAAATAAGGTTTATTTTCTAACTTCTTTCGTTGTTGGGTGTGGACAGCCAATGACACTAATTGGGTCTCTACTATGAGTCTCCCTGAGTACATTGGCATAAGCTATTTACCCTGTGTTTAGGGAGGCAAAATGCAAATCATTTACTCTTAAATATCCTTGGTTTAGGGAAGGTAGGATTTACTAGATGGCCCCAAACTGCTTGGAATCTAGATTTTCTCGATGGTTGCAAACTGCTGTTTTACTATCTCAGTTTCCCTGTTCTGCTTGTCCTGGCTTACTGGCCTGTGTCATTTAATCAATTTCCTTTTAACATTTCTTTCTGAAAACTTTCTGTAACTTTCACAGACATTCTTACAACTTTCAGAAATAACCACCTTAAGAAACTACCTTCCTTTTCCCTTCAAAATGTATAACCATGGCTCAGACCTTCCATTAAGTATTTCTACTCTAATATTCTTTCTTTCTGTCATACCTTCAGCAATTTGTACAGACCTTTATTTTTTTATTTAAAATGTATTAGGATTCTTCACTCTTAGAAACCTTAATATTTCAATGATTACCAAAAAGTAAACAGCCAGCATTTCTTAGATTAACATTTATGAACACACTTTAAAACACAGTCTTACTTTCAAGAAAATATACATTCAACAAAATACAAGAGACCTTCTGTAATAAAAACTAAGAGTAGGCTAATTAAAACATGTCTAGCAATTAATGTTTCAGTATTTTATGTTATTTAAAAATATTTTAGATGTTTATCATTTAATCCAGCAATGCTCTAAAGCAGCGGTTCTCAACCTGTGGGTCGCGACCCCTTTGGGGTCAAACGACCCTTTCACAGGGGTAACCTAAGATCATTGGAAAACACATATATAATTACATATTGTTTTGGTGATTAATCGCTATGCTTTAATTATGTTTAATTTGTAACAATGAAAATACATCCTGCATATCAGATATTTACATGACGATTCATAACAGTAGCAAAATTACAGTTATGAAGTAGCAACGAAAATAATTTTATGGTTGGTGGTCACCACAACATGAGGAACTGTATTAAAGGGTCGCGGCATTAGGAAGGTTGAGAACCACTGCTCTAAAACCTCTAAGTTACCAAAGACTTTGGAAAACTATGTATAGGCATATGAGGCTGGAGAAAAGGCAAGGGGAGGAGGGAGCAAGCCCCATAGCCCAGTGATGGTGAACCTATGACACGCGTGTCAGAGGTGACACGCGAACTCATTTTGGGTGACACGCATCAACAGAGACAAAAAATTGCATAATTCAAATATTTGTCTCTCGCAACGACCAAAGTTGGGCATCACTCAAGTAATATTATTACTCACGTTACTCATGATCATCAATAATGCTCTAAAACCGATGTAAACATGTACATTAGTGTTGCATAGCAAAGATACATAGTGAAAACATCCAAGATACATTGTTCTAATAATGACATTAATATAAAAAGGTTAAGAATTGCACTATAAAGAGATTAATCTTTACTCATGACATTTTATTTTTAACTCGAGTGACAAAATGCCCAATTCTGGAGACGGCCTCGTTATTGTCAACATGTGCCTTGGGTAAGCTTCCCGTGCGTTCGGGTGCATTCGGCAAACGGACGCACTTGATCGCCATGTTCGTTAGGAGACAGGAGTGGGAGGGTTAGAAGAAAAAGATATACAGTGCAACAGTGCTCGACGAGACATTCTGCGTGTCGGATAATTGATTACAGCACCATATATTTGTTGGTTATACATACTATCTTTGAATTGTTTTGCACCAGGAGTCAGTGCAACAACACTGCAAAAAGTTAATAGGTAAGAAACCTATCAACCTTTTATAAAAAATGCTGTGATTTATATTTATTTATTTTTGCAGCCTTGTGATGGAGAATCAAAAAAATAAAAAAGCAAGATTGAATGATAAAGGAAGTGGAAGTAGCAGTAGCCGACCCTTTCAAGACATATGGACCGAGATGTACGGGATTGTC